CTGTGGTTCCAGCTACTTGGAAGACTGAGGTGGAAGGATCGCCTGAGCCCAGCAGGTTGAGGCTGCGGTGGCTGTGAGCGTGTCGCTGCACTCTCCAGCCTGGGTGACAGTGAGACTCCGACTCAAAAAAAAAGAAGCACAGAAGGAGGCTCTTACACTGTGGTGGGTCCTGACCTGTGCTTGTGCGCTGCTGTGAATGACCCTGCAGAAACAGGAAGACTGATCCCACGGGGCAGGAGAACGGGACCTAATGAATAAGGGGGGAGCAGCCTTGCACTGTAGCCAAGTAAAGGCAGGGAGATGGCGGATTTGGGGGTTTCTCTCATCTGATGCTCTGTCTTTCGGTGACACACGGGGCCAGATGAAGAACTTGGGGGTGCTGCTTGGAAGGACATCCTGGAGTGGGGGGAGGGTGGCCAGGGAACAGCGAGGATTGCCAGGAGCGTGGGACGTGAGCGGCCATTGCTTGAAAGGGAGACCCATCAGCCAGGCAGGGTCTCCTCCAGCCACTGAGCTGGGCCCGTGCCTGGGCGGGTCCAGCCAGGCTTGGGATTTTGCCTGCATGCACAGCAGGAAGAGACAGGGCAGATGTTGGCAGGGCATGATGGGGACTGACTGTATTTGCAGGTGGCCTGGTCAGGGCCAAGAGGTAGGACATGGGGCTGGCTGTGAGGGGCTGAGGAGGCATCCCAGGTATTCAAGGGAGCCTGGGGTGGCGTGGCTGTGGCGAAGGCCAGTGGGTGGAAAGGCCACCACCTAGGATGACCAAGGGACCCTGAGCATAAGAGCGTCCTGACCCTCACCCAAAACACACACTCACACGCATACACACATGGACATGCTCAAGCATACACCAGCACGTATGCCCCACATGTGCACACGCACTCACAGGCACACACACGCCTTCCATGACTTGACTCCAATTGCTGTCCCATTTCCGCCTCTGCCCTTCCTCCTCCTGACGCCCTCCCCCGCCTTCCCCACACACTCTATCTCCATCCCCAGTACTTACTGGTGGAGGAAGAGGCCCCGGTGCTGGCTGGGTCTTCACAGCCTCACCCCTAAACAAGGAGAAGCCTTCAGGTGAGGCAGGGACTCAACTCAAGGCATGCCCCTTCGGACCCACCTCTTGGCCTCCAGGACACTGGGTTCCACCTTGGCCTTCTCATCTCAGAGGGCTTCCGCATTCCCCCACATCTTCATGTGTACAGGAACAGAGACTTCTGACATTCGTGCTATTATACAGATAGGGAAATTGAGGCCCAGGGGCATGACTCGGCCAAGGTCGTACACCAGGTCAGGAGCAGCCAGGACTAGAAGTCACCTCACTTGTTTTTTTTTTGTTGTTTGTTTGTTTGTTTGGAGTTGGAGTCTCACTCTGTCGCCCAGACTGGAATGCAGTGGCCGCTCCCGGCCACCACAGCCTTGACCTGCTGGGCTCCGGCGATCCTTCCGCCTCAGCCTTCCGAGTAGCCGGAATTACAGGCATGTGCTACCACGCCCGGCTGATTTTTTGATTTATTGTAGAGATGAGGTCTCGCTGCCCAGGCGGGTCTCGAACCCACGGGCTCAGGCAATCCACTCACCTCAGCCTCCCAAAGTGCGGGATTACAGGCTGAGCCACCAAGCCAGCCAAGTCACCTCACTTGTAACTCAGCAGGAGGGCAACCCTGTTGGGGGTAGGGAGCGGGGTGGGAGGTGGCATTGGAGAATGACTCACCCTTCCTTGGGTGTTTTGGGTCCAGGGGTGGATGGCAGGAAGGGGTGGCCTGTCTTCTCATCTGTAGTCACCATACGCACTGGGGACATTGCTTCCTGGGTGCTGTCCTCCTGTCCCCCTGGGCCAGGCTCTGTTAGAGCCCTCTGTGAACTGGTGTGTGGGCTGCCAGCCTCGCTGGGGGGCTTGTCTCCTCGTGGCTGGCCACAGCTGTCCGAGGTGCAGCAAAGCTCTGTTGGCTGCCCCACATCTGATTCACTTGCTGATTCACTTGCCTGGTGACCTGGAGTGGACTGACACTTGGGGCCCTGCCAAGGACAAGGACACCAAGGATGGGGAGCCCATCCTGGTTCCCAGTGAACCTCCACACTCACCCAGAGGCCAGTTATTACACGCCTGCTTGGGTCCAACCACAGCAGGCATCCCTGGAAGGTGGCATAGGTAACCCCATACTTGGAGGAATGGGAAATTGAGGCCCAGGGAAGGTGCAGCCTACCCAAAGTCATAAGCTATGGGAGCCTGGATAATCAAGAAGATCCTTTTTGTTATTATTTTGACTTGGAATTCATTCTCACCCAGGCTGGAGTGCAGTGGCACAAATCATGGCTTACCACAGCCTCCACCTCCTGGGCTCAGGCAATCCTTCCACTTCAGCCTTCTAAGTAGCTAGAACTACAGGCATACACCACCACACCTGGCTAATTTTTTGATTTATTGTAGAGACAAGGTTTCACCAAGTTGCCCAAGCTGATCTCAAACCCCTGGGTTCAGACCATCCTCTCACCTCAGTCTCCCAAAGTGCTGGAATTACAGGCATGAGCCACTGCGCCTGCTTTAGCTCCCCTTTAAATGGGATTTCCCAGTTCCAGCTACTTGGAAGGCTGAGGCAGAAGGATCCTCTAAACCCAGCAGGTTGAGGCTGCGGTGGCCATGAGCATGCCACTACACTCCAGCCTGGGTGACGAGAGTGAGATTCAAGTCAATAAGTAAATAAATAAATTAAAATACAATAAATGGGATTTCCCAAAGGATGTTTCAAAGAACAAGAATCCTTCAAGGCCCTCCTTAAAAAGGGAGGATTTAGCCCAGCTCAGTGGCTCAGCCTGTAATCCTAGCACTTTGGGAAGCTGAGGTGGGTGGATTGCCTGAGCCTGTGGGTTCAAGACCAGCCCAGGCAACTTGGCAAGACCTTGTCTCTACAATAAACAAAAAATTAGCCAGGCATGGTAGCATGAACCTGTAGCTCCAGCTACTTGGAAGGCTAAAGCAGAAGGATCCTCTAAACCCAGCAGGTCGAGGCTGCAGAGGCCATGAGTGTGCCACTGCACTCCAGCCTGGGCGACAAGAGTGAGACTCCAAGTCAATAAGTAAATAAATAAATTAAAATAAATGGGATTTCCCAAGGGATATTTCAAAGAACAAGAATCCTTCAAGGCCCTCCTTAAAAAGGGAGGATTTAGCCTGGCTTGGTGGCTTAGCCTGTAATCCCAGCTCTTTGGAAGGCTGAGGTGAGTGGATTGCCTGAGCCTGCGGGTTCAAGACCAGCCCAGGCAACTTGACGAGACCTCATCTCTACCATAAATAAAAAATTAGCCAGGCATGGTAGCATGCACCTGTAGTTCCAGCTACTTGGAAGGCTGAGGTTGAAGGATTGCCTGAGCCCAACAGGTCAAGGCTGCTGTGGCCGTGAGCGTGCCACTGCACTCCAGCCTGGGTCTGGGT